GTTCGAGCACTCTTATACTACAATGCCAATCCCTTAGTATCCAACCATAAAGGTGATAAGCCGTTGGATTTATGTCAAGACTCTGAAGTCTCCAGTTTTCTTAAACAAGTAAGTTTTGAATGAAAATTTTTTAATACTATACAGTTTATATGATTCCATTATTTCTTATCTCTCGATCTGATTGGTAGTAATATTTTCCATATCTCGGGTACTTAGTGATGAATCATATCTTATTGCATGTATTAGGTGTATAGATTCGATGGACAGAGATTCAGTTATCGACTTCGCTCTCCACTTTTTACAATTGTAACTCTATCCCACCATATTGTGTAGTTGTGTGTTAATGCATACAGTGTAATTGTTGCACTTTTCTCTAGATTACTTATATTCGCGGGTCAATCTGCCGATCAAATCAAGAGATAAGAAATAATGGAATTATATAAACAAAGTCAGAAAGTTGTTCGATTATCTTTATATGATTATGAGCAATAATTTGTGCTCAAAACGTCATCAGCTAATATTATAGTGGAACTGTACTCAGCCACAGTGCACAAGTTTTATTTTTATATCAGCTATACAGTTCTTTGAGTAGTTGTGCCAACAGTTAACAATAAATCATACAAGTCTAGTTCTAGTGTTGATTTTAGTTTATCCACTTCCTATTGTGCCGCAAAACTGTTCATTTAGACACTTAGCAGGCACATCAGGCGATTGAGTAAAGAACACTCTTTTCGATAACTCTCCCACCAGGTTCTATAGTTATATAAGGAAATAATGTTTTAAGAATAATTGTTATTGGGAACATTGGTGTTTTTTAAAATAGTATCGAGTCGCTAAGACCAACAGATTACAGTTCAGAAAAGGCTTATGTGAGTGATAATATGCTTTAATATAATTATAAATTGAATATTAAACAAAATTAGGAGCAAAATTAATGCAACACTTACAGGTAGTTAGAGCAATAATAACTAGGGGTGGGAAGATTACTTGATTGTAAAGATCTGAAACGATACCCAAGGTTAAGGAAAGTAGTAGTATAAATTTCATCTGAACACATAGGTTCGGCTTTGTCTGGTGGATTCCGATGGCTTCAGTCTTTATGTTTCGAAAACGAACTTGTAAGAGGAAAGTAAGACTGGTCAAAACTTGAAATACCTTGCTAGCTTTATGTTCAGTATCTACAAGGCGAGCGAATAAACAGCTACGAATAGTCCTTGTTTGCCCCTTGCCTAACCATTTTTTGTTGATTTATTTAAAACACAGAACTTGGTCCAATATAGACATGAAGAAGATGCGCCACACAACAAAAATAAAACAGCAGCATATAAAGAAAATAGGGAAAGAGTGAATGAAGAAATTCATGCAGAAACGAAGCAAGTATATTTGACAATATCAAACAACGATCGTCGTATTACTGTTAGGAAGGGAAGAACGAAGGAAATTGCAGCATGTCCGCAATTGATTGCGTTTCTTGGCGATATCTGATAACGTTTCAAGTCACTGGTTCAGACTATCTCTCAGACCGTAACCAGGGAGTCATGAAGCAATGACCGATGCCCATCTAACACATATATCTTTCATCCTACGACGTCACGTCGAAGGCTGACCACCTCTCCTCTGTTTCCATCCAGTCCCATGACTGGCAAACTGAGACCGGTACGGAGGCCTCCTAGATAACATTCGTGGGATGTTCAAGCAACCGAAGCCGGTGTTTTCACATGACGACAATCAATGAATTGTGATCTCCACTGTGTCGAAAAACACGCTGCCTCACCCCAGAATTACTCAAACAATGATGCTATCGAACGCAAGCAATTCTACGGCGACAGTAATGATCGAATACACAGAGTCACTGCACATCCTCATCTCGGAAAGGTCAGGTTTCACACGCGAAGAACAAGACTGTGCGCACCGAAGGATTGTAAGCCCGACCTTTGACATCTTAATGACGCTGAAGGTGGCTCAAATTAGCGTTTGTCACCCTAGCTTTCGCTATACGGTTAGAAGTCTCTTCCGTCACACCTACGCCCAGCACTCACAACTACACAAATGTACGAACTTGTCGACAACTTCAAGCGGCTCACTTGCAATGGTGAGCGCAGGTACAGCTTCCTGCCAATCTTGCGACAGTACTTTGCGCTTAGAAGGTACAAAGCCCACACCATACTTACAGTGATCGTCAACTCATTAAGTACCATTTGAGCAGCCTGCATAGTGTCGCATAGTAAAACGATATCGTCTGCATACTCGAGGTTGGAAAGTCTTTCTCCAGGAAGCAGATCTACACCACCACTACGCACATCCTTCAGAGCTGACTCCAGACTGTCATCGATGGCAAAGTTAAAGAGAAATGGAGAGATTGGGCAACCCTGTCTAACCCCACTGTTGGTTGGGAACAGTGTTCATAGCTGGGGTATTTCTGTACACGGCTTTCGGGATGTTAAAAAACTTCTCAGGTACATGGTTCTTTAACAGACAGTTCCAGAGAACAGTTCTGTCCAACGAATGGAAGACAGCCCTAATGTGAATAGACGAAACGACTGTTCGCCTGGAAGACGTGTGACGGTGTTCCAACAACTGACGAAGGATGAACGTATGCATCCACGGTCTGGACGAAACCTAGCATGCTCTTGGCGAATCAGTTCCTCACGTGTTTTGAAGCGCCCTCAAAGTAAGACAGCAGCCAATATTTTAGACGAGACTAGTAGCAAACCAATGTCCCTATGGTTGTCGCACATGTCACATTGGCCCTTTTTAAAGATGTGGACGATGATGACCTCATTCTACATTGATTCTCTTTCCCGAACAATACAGCCGAAGCCATGACGAGAATTGCGCCACCATCTTCAAAAATAGCCGGGGGTAGATTGTCTGGGCAAGGTTCCTTATGACGGTTCAATATTTAGAGTTCTTTTCGAATCTCTGCGTCGATTGGTGTTTTGATACTGACCGACCAGGGAGCGTTGTAGCTGATGATGTTGGATGATGTCTCTGACGGCCAGTTAAACTGCTTCTCAAAGTGCTCTGTCCACTGTTCCAGGCTTCTTTACAGGCTGGTAATTGGCATACCATCTGCCTCACAGACCGTTTCGCTGACACCATGCTTCTTGATGACAGTGGCTCGAATGAGCTGGAATAGCTTCCTGATATTGTCAGATGCCGCCGCAGATCCCACCTCACACGCACGTTCTGACCACCAGGCTTCTCGGTAAACACTTTGATCTTGCGCGTTAGCACCCTGCTCATGTTGCTACAACAATGGCTGCTACAACGGATCGGCACTCATCCAGAAGTTGCAATTAACTTGGAGGGCCCCAGTGATTTTTAGCGAAGCATTCTTTTCAGCCACAAGCGGCTTTACTCACCATTCTTATAACGTCTTGCACGTGTAGCTAGTGTTCATCTATACTATTTGGAAGGTTGCCAGTTAGCCTTGATTGTAAATCAGTCAGGTACTTCAAAGAGGTAGTAAATGCTACCACTTAGCTCACATAGAAATGTAGAGGACACCATGTATGAACCTCATCAAATCACAAAACGAATCTCGCACACATTAAAGCATGCTTGGAGTCCAGATATGTGCTCCAGAAGGAGCGGTGGTCCTGTATGCATCGACGCCCCCGGAAACTGACAGCAACGTGATCAGTGTGAGTTCATGGTTGATTGGCAGAAGGAGGACGCTGGATAGCCTTACAGCCAAGGCTGTGACGGATGTTGGTGCTGACTAAAAATAGGTAATCTGCGCAAGGCAGCAGAAGACTGTCCCCACTACCTGACCGGTGACTGCGTACACATCAGTGACCACCTAGACGACTCTCCTCTTAGCCTTGACGCCTGAATTGTGCATTCAAGTCCCCGGCTAGCATTATGGTATCTCTCTGAAGTGTCTGTTTCAGGAGGTCGCTCAGATGGTAGCAAAACTCATCCGGGCTGCACTCCGTCGGTGCATAGGCAGAGATGACAAATAGGCGCCGTCTATCTGAATTACCGCTTCGTACTCTCGTATAACCTTCCAGCCTTATAGCACACAAAATAATGCTGATGGGGATCCAGTCGATTAATGCAGCTTCGATTCTAGCGTTTAGTGCAGTACTGACATCAGCTAAGCTGGTTCCTGACGCCACATGTTTCTGGGATAAGCGTAGGTGGTACATACTACTTGAACTTCTAGATGGGGAGGATATTCGAAGCACTTCACTGGAGTCTTGAATACGGGTCTGCGGAATGAAGCCGACACCGATAGGGAGGTTGTCTAATGTTATTGCTAAACTTATCTGTTGTCCGATTTGCATCAGTGTACAAACATTGTAAGTGTCAAACTTGAACGCGCCACGGATTTTCAGGATATCCATGTTAGACGTCTCACTCGGGGCCAGCATTCTAAAGGCTAGTCACTGACATTTCAAAATGGTACAAATGGCTGAGCATTCGGACAAAGGTGGAAGGCTGACTAAAATAACGACGCCAAGGGTAGCAAAAATAAAACAAAAAAGTCTTTATTGAAAACAAGTTTAAAAAGAAATACGTTGCCAGAAATATCGCGAGTAAGTGTGCACTTACATTTCCTCATGGTTTGTTGTTTCATTGTTAGCGCTGATACTGCCTGGATGCCCTGATTGAAACAAGTGGTTGTCCTAAGGGACCACTCGCGAGCCTTTAGCTTTAAGTCTCATCCACAAGACAGCGTCAAGAGCTACATTCACATAGTTTCCGGTGACCCATATGGGTTCATACGCCATTCGATCCGATTGGATCCTGGAGCCCATGTATACCAGAGTAAATGCTATCCAAACAATCTTCCTGGTGTAATAGGACGTGCACGAACATAAGTTCCAGTCATTGTAGCTTGTTGGGTCACTGCGGTATGCAAACTCGACCACCACGTGGAGGTAGCAGCTGTCGACCGGTTGTATAAATAGCTGTAGGACCTGATGAGAAAATTAAAGAAAAGAATATTCCTTGCGCAATCCCTTTGTTTTTACGGGGTATCAGTTCCAAACTGTCAATGTCTTTTATTCATTGAAATAAAGAATATCTTAGGATATGAAGAAAATGACTTATTTATACTAGAAATTATAGTCGAAGTTTTGTGTTGATTGCAGTGATAATATCTGTATTGTTTCTGCTATTGTCATAATTAAGTTTTCTATGCTTGATAGTTATTCTGTGGTGTAGTGAGTGACCTCAGATTGATTGATAATTAAGAAATTTAAATAAAGTTGTGTGCGTTTGTTTTTAATAAGTCATATTGTTCATATTTCAGTCATGGGTTGTGTTTTTAAGGTGAGTTAGGAACAAATCGTTCAAACGGTAGATGGTGAGATACTGATGGTTGGTCAAGTAAGTTCTTATTCGCTATGCCGTGTTGTTTATCGGCGGGTTATATAAAGGCAGTATCCACAATTTCAGATGGGCTTATACTCTTTCTTAGGGTTATAAATCCATGTATTCTAGAGATATTTGTTCAAATAATGAAATGGGTATCAACTGATCGAAATTATACGCTGGTGTTAGAATACGACTGGAATAACAGTGGCTCTATTAGTTTAAGCGTGCTCAACTTCCAACCGAGTGGATCATGGGTTTGAAATCCACTTTGCTTATCCAGGTTTGTGCAGCTAACCAGGTAGTGTGATTAGTCTTTACACTGTAGGTGTGACTCATTTCCTGACTGAGTTTCAACGTAAAATTTTCAGGTTGCCACACACTCCATGTAGCATACAAAGGTAGAGAAAACCAAATTCAAAAGGACGGTAAGAACCAGAAATGTGACAGAGGGAAGAATAACAAAATGGAAAAGCATCCGGGGTTCAATGGATATAGGCGATCACAGACTGTATACATCTTCACCACTGACAACGATTGTGTGCCAATACTATCGAGTCATTGGTTCTTGTCATCCAGCTCCAATCTGGCTCAACTCAACTATCAAATGCGCTATGAAGTGATGTCAGGTTTCTGTGTGGACATCCTTAACTCTTTTCCAGTCTAATCGTTTATCGGTTAACACTGCTTGATGAGGGGGAGGTGATGTTTCGTCATGCGTAACACGTGTCTTAGTCACCTCAACCAACTCACCTTCATAACCTCACCGATTGATTCCGTCTCGTACTTACTTACTTTACTTTGGCTATCTCCTACGGGAGGATGAGCCGGCTTCATGAACATCTCGAAGCATCGCTGCCCAGGCGCGGCGATCTGATTTGTAAGAGAGTTCATGAAGTTTCATGGGAATTTGGTACGAGTGATGTCCCCAGAATCGCTCGGCCTTTTGTTCGAGAGTGCAGCTCTAGCCTTTACACAACCGTGTGACCTACAAGGCAGTAGGAGTGGAGTAGGGAGTCCACTATCCATTGGCAGCCGGTGACCGGAGTTCGGTTCATACACCTTTTTGAATGGGGCCAGACATCCAGGACATCCAACAAGCCCTTTGTCCATACGTCTGCCGGTGAGCACCAGTGAGCTTCATACGCCAGTCGTTGGAGGTTTGGAATCAGGGTTAAGCCATCTCCCATAGACTGTCATCCAATGGACAGTCAACCCGGTGAAGAGCGCCGGGCATCCGCTTTCGCCCTCTCACTATGGTGAAAAACACCTCCGCCACGTGAAGGCAGTGAGTAGGACTTCCTCAGGAGAGGCTATGTAAGACGCCCGGTCATATGGGAGCATTTCAAGAGGTGTGCGGAGGGGTGGCCAACTCGCAGCGCAAGGCACCCACCCCCGACCATCCTGAGGCTTTGGAGGCTCAGTAACCTAACACTGTATGCATAACGTGAATACTGTTCACCATGTTATGTCACTTAACGCGGGAAATAGAACTCAAACATCCGTGGTCAAAGAGAACTAACATTTTCGTGTCTTCCGTTTTTAGTTGCCATGTCTGACAGCCGTAAAAGAAGACAGAGCGAAATGGTGAATAGTACACAGCCAGCAGGATATCAGGTGTAAACAGAGATGACGTAGGTTCGCAAGTGCCACACAGGGCCTTTGTATCCGTGGTGAGATTTCGTGCGCAACCACTTCATTCCGGTTGGTGCAACTTCCCAAGTAAGTGAAATAGTCAAACGAAAATATGGAATTAATCCATGAAATCTTAAACAGTTAGTTTGAACCAGCCACGTAGGGAGGTGTAGACTGCCTGACTGGCTGAAGTCCTGTGAATGTTAAGAATCAACGGTTGGAGACAATTAGTGATATGGCTTGAAATCGTTCTCAAGTGACTCAGATGCATTCGTTCCCACATACATTAAAACCCTATTGTTTTTCCATGTTGTTATTTTCTCTATATTTCTACTTGGTATCGTTCTTTTGAAGCTCTTGTTTCCTCTCTTTTGTCTCCGTTTGTATGCTACATGGATTGTGGCACTACGACTTCACTCCTTATCTTTAAACTGGGGGTGAGTCAGATCACTCTTGCATTGAATTGTAAGTGACATATTTGTTCTTGCTTAGAGTGTATTATGGAGATAGCAGAAACGAAAACATTTCAACTGCTTCTTTTGTGTGATAAAACACTCATATTTTTTTTTACTATATTAATTTCAGCATATTGATAACAATCAGTTAAATATGGTTTCTTCATCTGGTCATGGAAAATTGAAGGTTAGCCGTCAACATTCAACAACATCACATAATACAAAACACTTAACATCTAGCTCCTCCTCTGTTGAACATTACACTGGGTCAAAAGATAACAATAGTCTAACGAGTATATCTGACGATGTTTATTCCGATTCAGATGGTCATGATGATAATGGTAACGAAAATGATGGTGATGCTGATGATGATGGTTATTCAAATTTAGGTGTGAGCAAATCTACCACTCATTTATCGCATAGTCATAATATGATCAGTCCAACAAATAGTCATCATTCTGATATGATGAATAATTTGTCTTCTAGTGGTCAGTATAGTCATCAAACATCCAGCAGTAGTCCATCGGTGTTATCATCTGTACAAAAATGTATGCCTGATATGCACAGCTCAACAAAGTCCTGTAAGTTTAATATTATAATATGCGGTAGTATGTTTATTCCATATTGATTTGCCTATTGGATATCACACGCACACTGTGAAACAGTATTTATTACTTGATAACGTTGAGAACATAAAAATGTGGTAGACAGTTCAGCATATTACTTGTGGGAAACTACTGTACATAAATTATATTATTATTACTGTTTCCTTGGGTTCCGAGTGGAACACAAGGCTTCAGCAGCATATTTCCACTTTGTCCTATTCCCTGCCGTCATCTTTAGCCTGGCCGTACGATTGCCCCATAGTCTCTGATCCTCTACTTGTCACCCTCGGACGCCTCACTCTTCCTTTCTCAATTGGGTTCCACTCGAGCAATGGCCTCACTGACACGGGATGTCATTCGACGGTCTCCTCCCTACATATAAATATTTTAGATAATCCGTTGTCGCACATAATTTAGAGCGAAGTCTGTACGAATTACATAGCTTTTCTGACTATTTTCTATTGTAGTTTGATTGTCAGAAAAAACAACACTACTTTTTGTATATCAGTTATCAAGTACTGATGAGGTTCATTGGGTGGTTAAACACTCAGTTTTCATCCGATGGGTGATTACACGTTCGAGTCTCACTCCACCTACTTACACTTGGGCAACTGACTAGTGTCATCATCATGCCTCACACAATGAGTGTGGCGGTTCACTTTCCACAAGAAAAAGTTGTTCCGGGTTAACTGAGATAAAACAAAGGAAAATTGTGTGTTTGCATTGAAAAATAAGTTAGAATACAATTGTGTGTGTGTTTTCATGTTAACGTTAACTCACAACTAATCATGAATAAACTAATCTAAATCACTGAGTGTCAGTGCAGAACTTAGCACAGAAGTCCACCAGTTCAAGTTGCCGCATTCCTTGTAGCATACAACAGAAGAAAAATAAAGATTCAAAAAGACGATAGTAAGTAGAAATGTGAGGGAGAAAGAATACTGGCATGGAAAAACCTGAGGGTTCAATGGATATGAGAGATCACAGAGGGTGAATGCATCTGCGCCATCAGTGAGGATGGTTTATAGCCGTATCACCAGTTGTCTCCAGCTATTGGTTCTTAGAATACCGAGGACCTCCACCAGGCAGTCTACACCTTCTTGCACGGGTCAAGCCAACTGTCAAACACTTCATGAATTTATTTGACCACGATCTAACTCTTTGCCAACCTAATCTTATCTGTAACTTAACATTGCTTGGCGAGAAAGGCGGTTGCGTGTCGTGCGTAATACGTGTTGTAGCCGTCTAAATTGGTGTAGCTTCGTAACCTCATTGATTGACTTCTCTTCTTTACCTAGGAATCTACGCTTTACCCCAATATTACTCACCGTATTGTACTCCTTAATATGGGATATAGAACACAAATATCTGTGGTCTCAGTGACAGCTGTTAAAGTAGATTGGTAAGAGTTGTGTGTATTTTTGAGTTGATGCTAACTCACAACTAATCATAAGCAAAGTAGTAATCTGCGAATAGAATACACAAAATAGAAGTAGTAGTAGCATGTTGGCTTTAAGAGTGTTTGTATCACTAACGTGTATGTCCAGAGTTCGCCTAGACCGTTACTTGATATGTTGTTCAAAGGCTGGTGAACTCATTACAAAACAACTACCGGGATTAGATTTTTGATTTAACTATGTGACAATAGAAGAGAAGAGAATTGAGATTGTTTGCTTGGAATTTGATATCTCTATATGGGGTAATTATGTGCACCTTAAATGAAAATCATCATTTGCAGCGATCTTCCGTGTTGTGCTACTTCTGCCTTTTGCGTATTGTGTTTCTTTGTCTTCTTTTCACGTCTCCCATGTGTTGTCGAAAAATTCGTTCATTTGCTCTCTTTGACGTCGAATCTATCCGTTGTTTGATATTTTTCTGCTGATGGGCATCTCTTTACATACTACTAATAAATCTTATCAGTGGTACACGCCACATTCAGGTTGATGAAGTAGGGAAGGGCGCGGGATTCGAATCCCGAGGTTGAAAGTTGAGTGCGTAAGCCCTAATGAATCACATCTGATGAATACCTATGGTACCTATTATGGAGACAGAATTGCCATTGAAATTGATTTCGAAAAACAATCCACCAGCGTTTGCGAATATTTTCCTGACATAATTTAGGTTTGAAGTCCTACGTCATCGCTCGATTTGATCAAAAGTTAAAGACTGAATGGTTCGTTACATGTGACTGTAATTTTTATTTTCAATGCTACATACACCAGTTAAAACTGCTAATGAAATACTTACTGGTTTTATTTTCTAATGTGTTTGATTTGAAAGTATTTGTATGTTTGTGTACAGTGAGAGTGGCTCAGGCATCCAACTCTACCTATAAAATCTTTGGGGTCGAAACCTGCTTCTACTCTCATCAAAATACGAATAGTAATCAATAACAAGGTATTTAAAGTCACTATAGTACTATTATATATGGGAGGGAGGGAAAAATATCAGAGGCCTTGTGTAGCATTTTTAATAAGGCTGAAGTTCGGTTGGCATTCTGTCTGTCTGTCTTTTTTCAACATAGAACTTTGCACCGAAGTGCAGCAGTTCAAGTCGCCACACTCCATTTAGCACACAAAGCAAGAGAAAGTAGAAGAAATGCAAAATAGAAACGGTAAACAGTGATATGAGACAAAAGGAATAGTAATAACGAAGAACAATATAGTTTTATTGAATATTATAAGTCATAAGGAGTGGATGCATCTGGGCCATTGAGAACGGCTTCGAGCCATATCACCAATTGGTGTTTACCGTCCCGAGGACCCCAACAAGTCAGGAAATCTACACCTTCCCACGTGACTGGCTTAAACTAACTGTAGTGGATTTCATTGACTGATGAAGCCATGTTTTAGTTTAACCACCACTAGCTCTTTTCCATCCTGACCCTATGTCAGCTGACTAACATTGCCCGTCGAGGAACGCTATGATTAGGCATGCGTAACACATGTCCTAACCACCTCAGTCGATGTAACCTCACAGCCTCGTCTATTGATTTCCCCTCCTTACCTAGCATTCGACCTCACCTCAATATTGCTCATCCTATTATACCATTTCACACGGGAGATAGAACGCAGGCACCTATGATCAAAGAGAGCTAGCCAGTCTTTTCATGTCTTCCACTCTGAATGGCCATAAAGGAGGATGGAGCGAACTGCTGAGCAGTACACACACCCTTTGGTCAATAGCTAACCGGATATCACATCTATACCAGAGACGGCGTAGAGTGGCATATGCGAAACTAACCGTCTGTATCTGTGCAGAGATTTCGTCAGCGATCAACCCGTTGGCTGACGTAACTTCCCAAATAAGTGAAGTGGTCAACGTGCTCCACAAACCACATCACTCCCTGTTTCTAAGTTAGGAGTCAGTGTAGTCCAGTCCTGTAGCCTCATCATCTTACATTTGGCGGGAGCGAATCGCATGCCGAACATTCGAAGATTGCTGCTCCACAAGGTGTTCAGAAGACTCTGTATTTTGTCAGCGTCTTCACCTAGAAGGACTATATCATCTGCATATTCTAATTCAACGAGATTATGCCCTGGTAACAAGTCAGTCCCTGAGTCGCTGAATTCAGCCGTTAGGGTTAAATAGAATTGGGGATAGTGGGTATCCCTGATGTACACCACTAGTTGTCACCAGTTCAGATGACAACTCGCCATAAGTCCCCACCTGACTACATGAGTTCGAGTAGAGTGAATGTCTTGATCAGTGTGGTGTATTTTCCCGACATTCCCTTCGCAGCCAAACATCACCAGAGTACCTCTTAGTCGACCGAATCGAATGCCGCTTTCAGGTCAAGAAATATAACGATTGTTGAACGCTGGTAAGTATGCCGCCTGTGTTCAGAATCTATCGAAGGGCGAAGATATGATCAATACACCCTCTTCCTGATCTAAAGCCTGCCTAGTTCTCTTGTTTTTGTTCCTTCCATGGACCGCTTAGTCTACCCATTTATTATTGAGCCTAGAACTTTAGATACTATATTAGTCAAGCTAATTCCCCTGTGATTACCACAGGAAAACTTGTCTCCCTTCTTGTGTATCGGGATAATCAATGACTTACACTAACCCAACGGGATTTCCTGTGATTCCTTGACGCAGCCTAGTACCTTAGTTAATGCGGACAGTAAACTGTCTCCACCGTCCTTAAACACCCCCGGGGTCATTCCATCAGGTCCTGCTGCTTTGCCTCATTTCAGACGAGTGATAGCCTTAGTAACCTCAGTTAGGGACGGAGGACCTGTGTCTATATCCCACTCAGGGAGGTGTTGGATGTTCGGTAAGTTGAGCGTGACTGAAGGCCAATTTGATTGTTTCTCAAAGTGTTCTTTCCAACGTCCTAGTCCTCTATCCTACGGATCACCGTAGGTTAAGTCGGGATGTACAATTGTTGGTGTCGACCTTTTCTAACCCCCTCTCCGGAGTAGAGAGATGGCATAGCTGGCATGGTGGTCATCTGAGGGAAACACGTCACTGCTCTTACATCCTTGTTCCCCAGCAGTACGACTTTGCCCACAGACCCTCAGCATAGTGTAAGAAGATTCTGACACTAAGCCGGTAACTGCTTTTAGTCTAATCGCTATCATAACAACCTTCCTGGCATGGTAGGACCTGCAGGAACAATAGTTCCAGCCAGTGTAACTTTTTGGGTCATTTCGATATGCAAGCCCGACCATCACGTCAAGGTAGCAGCTATCGGTCGGTTGGGTATGCGTAACATGTGTCATAGCCCTCTCTATTGAAATGGTTTTACAATATTGTCAATTAACTTGCCCTGCGTATCCAAGACTAGACCTAACCTAAACATTACTCATCATATTTTACCACCTAACGTGAGAGGCAAAAACGACTGACGTCTTCATATTTCTCACTTCCAACGGCCACATCTCATAGCTATAAAGAAGGACAGAGCGAACTACTGCTCGGTACGCGAATTTTCTGATCGATAGGTGGATATAATGTTTACTCCAGGGATGATGTAAGTTGGCAAATGCCATACGAACCATTCGTATCCGTGCTGAGATTTTGTCAACCATCAGTCCATTAGGAGTGATGTAAATTCTCAAATAATTTAAGTGCTCCACGTCTTCTCCATCTTTAGACTAAGCTTCAGTAGGGATAATTCCCTCAGCACCATCTCACATTTTCCAGAGGTGAATCACGTGTCAAATATACTCAAATTTTCTGACGAAGGTGTTCGGAAGACTCTATATTAAAAATCAAGCAGGATTCAAAAATAAGGTAGTTGCATAAATCTGTGGCTACGATTATGTGCAATAAATTGTTTTTGAAACGTCATTCCTCATTAGTGAAGACCAATCGGTTAGTACAACTGTTAGCAGGACGATGGTGAAGCAAGCCACAAATTTCTTATGTTAGTTTCAAGTTTCGAAGTGGTGTCATTATAATTGATATGATTATGAACAATAAGTTTTGTTCGAAACGTCATCCAGTAAATAATAATACTGTTTCACTGTGTGATACATCTAATAAACAAACTGATATGGAATTATTTTAGTTTCACTTGAATGATTTTTTACTGTAAAGTAACAGCAGAATCTTCCTATTTTTTTTTCTCTCGTCGAGTTGACCAGCGAAGCTCTACAACTTCACTGCCCTAGAGTAGTAAAAAATTCTCGTAACACACAGACACATTTACATTGACTTCCAATAGGAGATCGTCATCGTCATTCTGCTTTCATGTGACCATTTGTATCAGATGACCGATAGTGTCATAATATCTGTGTCCTATTTATTGTTTTCTTGTTTCCAAATGCTTTGGGTGTATGTGTGTGTGTGTGCGTACGCGCGTTTTCTTTGAAATTAACCAATCAGAGTTTCCTGTTTCTCCACACATCTATGTGTACATCTGTCGCTATGCTGATTACCTTAAATTGAAAATGCCTTTTTTTAAAGATTTATTTTGTACGTTGACAGGTAATATTAGGCATAGACACACAAACAAATATATTGGTATACATATATACATTCATATATTTAGAGCCTTACATATAGTGTCTGTCCATACGTACACATCAGAAGAGTGTGTCTGTAATGATCTGTCTATATTAACCTATTGAGTTTTTTGAATAGAAGTAATCCATCCTCCTACAGCTACTGTTAGTTAGCCTGTTGTGTATGTGTGTGTGCGTATGTGCGTTTGACATTTAAGAAGCAGTGGATTTTCTCTAGGACTTTTTAAAATTCCTTTCTCTTAATCTCGTTGTTGTTGTTGCTGTGATGGTAATCACACACATAGACACGTGTACGTGCAAACGTACGTGCTAGGTAAATGGATATATAATGAACAAGCGTACCAGAGAGAGAATGGATGAATAAATAAGTAAATAAAACTCACTTATTCAGATCAGTTGAAGCAACAAAATTACGGCTTTGTCGGTGTATTGTAAAGGTGCGCATTTTCCGTATTTTATTATTGTTATTATTATGATACTTTTTTTTCCAAATTACTTAATTGATATGCAAAGTGAAGTTGTTCCCTGTAATAAAGTCATTACAGTATCAACAGTTATCATTGTTATCACTATTGTTGTCACTTTTTGTTTAAAAAAACCCGTTTAAATATCATTTTGTTATTATGCATTTATCATCTTGGGAATGGTAACATTCCCAAATGTGTTGGTTTGCAGTGATATAATGGATTCCAAGATTTATCAAGAACACTTGCCTTGGTTAGAGGACTACTGACAGCTGTTTCGTCTTTGCTTGGATCTCTTCATCAGTACACACTTGGTACTTAGGTTACAGAATTAGCTTATTGACCAACCAGCCAATTGGATAGAATCCAATCACCATCATTTCTAACTTCTGCCAATTTGAGATATATCTGTTGCGTGGCTGCCAGTCATTGTCATTGGCGAGTATTGTCTTTCGCGCCCAACTCAGTGAATGGATCCCATCGGTCACCACTTCCCACTGGGCGATTGGATTCCTTCTCTGTGATTGACAGGTCAGCGAGTTAGCCCTGTAACCCAGAGGTTCTCGGTTCGATCTTTGCTGAAGTTATGCGTCCGTACTGCTGAAGAGTTCCACATCACGACAAAACAGCTGTACTTCATTGCTTATTAGTGATCAGTCTTAAAAACAACAATATTGTCATTGTGGTCAGTAATAACTCTTGTAATATTGTAACAGCAGAAGGCAAGGCACGGGAGCCAAGGTATATTTGCAAGTGATCAAACCGCTGTTTATATAGATATAGTTTCATATTCTCTAAACAGTCATTGAGCATGTGATTTTGGCTTACATTAAACGACATGAAATAGAATGATCAAATATACATAGTATTCTGTTACTAACGCAGTATTGAACTGTGGGAATATGTGAGAATAATATACCGTTGGAATACATTGTCTGTATCAAACCACCGCAATTTGTGCTACTGTGACAAGAACTTGTAAACAGTATGCTGTGCGTGCGTACGTGGTGTTCTCTGCAAGAATCTTGAATAGTACAGTGTCAGGAATTAAATGTTGCAAAGAGGAGGAATGAAAATATACTCACCTATGAAACAGTTCATAGAAAGCATGAAAACAAAGGAAGAAGACTGTGAATAATATTTGCAAGTTGATATTTGAATGTATATTATTATAATTATTATCTCCTTGAATTGATGTGCATGAAAGGTAGGGCTTCAACGGTACATTTCTATTTCATCTTATTCCTTGAAGTTATTTTTAGCTGGCTTGACAATTTCCCATAAGTATTCACTTTCTCTGCATATGATTTACTCCGTGTCATCCTCTGACACACGTTCAACTTGTCCTTTCTCATTCGCGTTCCACTTGAGGGTCTGGCCGATGTGAAACGTGACGCGCAACCATCTTCTCAGTGTGTGTCCAGTCCGTTTCCACTTCTTTCTGCACATGTATTTGACGGTAGATTATTCGTTGGTTCTTTGTCAGAGTCCCTCTTTTGCTTATCCTTCTTAACTGGCCATTTAATCTTCAATATGAGACGAAGTCATCTCTTAGTGGAAGTCTGCAGTCTGTTTGAAATGAAATTTTAACGTAACGTCTTTGTATTTCAAAATGTAAAGTATTCAGTTTATAGAATACCACTGTTGTCACCAACGCAGATTCAGGTCCTACCTGTGACACCAATTGTATCGACCGCATGCAGATGGTATTTGGAAGTAGAATTATTTATTTGGCCAAAGGCGGACAGCATACATTGACATTCCAAAAGTTATGCACAGCCTACTTGTTTTGTCTGCATGCTTTTTATGCTTTTTTGTTTTGTTTCACACGATCCCACTTGTCACCTTTTCAACCTAATATTTGTCACTCTGTTATTTAAGATTCTTGCGGGGGACATCATACATTTGCGCACGTACGCATACAATATGCTGCATAAAAAATTCTTGTCAGTGTAGCACACACCGCATTACTACAACTATTGTTATTTTTAGAAATATTATATTAATTACAAATAACCTTTAATGTACTATACTATACCTATATCAGGTTTCATTATGTATTTATGCGTTGTATTCATTGCTTACTTTTAACAGCGAAAAAAGATCCGTATGCATTTGAAGATGATGAGAATGACGACACAGTGAATAGTTCTGCCAACACATTACTTCATTCGTCGGCAGTCTCCACTGGACAAATTGGAATTCATTCTAATTGTAGCAGTAGTGGTGGTGGTGGCGGTGGTGGAGGTGCTGGCTTTATTGGTACAGTAACATCGACTAGATCAAATATTACTAATACCAGTCCTAATAATAGTGGCAGTAGCCTGTTGTCAAAGCCATCCCGCCAAATCTCTTCATCTAATTTGTCTACTGTAGTAGAGTCCGGAAATACTAGTTCGGATAGTAATCATAGTTATAATACAACTGGTGGACCTCCACTTCGACTTCGGTTTGCTAAAGAAGCTGGACAATACACACTGATGGAACAACAACAGCAACAACAGGTTGATTTGTCGTCATTGTCGAATTGTGATATGAATTCCAGTGGTGGAACAACTGAAGTATCTAATTTCAATAGTATGAACGATAACAATACCAGTGGTGGGAGCAGTAACAATAACAATAATATTGCTGGTCATCTGGATAGTAATACTAATAATATTGACAACAGAAATGATCAAGACGTCGGTTTATTGGTGTCAATGAGAAGCGAACAGTTGACGGGACAAGATTTAGATAATGTAAGTTTTGTTGTCGTTTATTGATTCATTTCCTGTCACTTGAATTAAAATGTATTAGTACTGTCCCTCTAGTTGCAGACATTGATAAAATTCAGGGCCTTCTGACCACATTGACTGGAATTCTTCGTATGCTTTCGGAATACCATCCGTCCGTGTCAAATGGAAGGATGGTACTCCAGGTCCAGTCTGAACAGATTCCTAGCTTAAAGATAGATAGGAGTCAAGTAGTACAACTTACCGACCACTTCGCTTACTTGGGAATTCGCATCAGCTCCAATTGGGACTCATTTCTGATAGAATTTCAACACAGATACAAAGATGCTGGTGTTGTAGGATTTACCAACCTACATCTCTGGTATCGACGTGATATCCGACTATCGATCAGAGGACGTGTGTCGTGCGCAATACTCCACCCTATTCTTGTTTATGGCTGTTAGATATACCTATGAATAATGGGAGATATGAAAAGGCCAGATGTCTTTACTACAGATGTTTGCATTCTATCGTCCTTGTTAAATAGTGAAATACGGTGAGCAATATGGATGTTTGGCATTTTGTGATAGGTAAGCAAGGGAAATCAGTCAACAAAGCTGTATAGCTATATTGATGGGCAAGTGGCTAGGGGCTTCGTTGTTTCAGCGAGTGTTTGTCATACTCCTTCAGGTTGAGACATTACACGAGTGCTTTGTAATGGTCGGTAGCAATATTGAATGTTGGTTGAAACACCACTTTCCTGGGAAAATTGTCTCATTCATTTGCCTTTTGCACTCTGCTTCTCTAGTAAGCGCGAATAGTTGTCTGGTGTTGCCGATCGCCAATGCTTAAACTATCTCTTTGGCTTATATCTCTCACCACTGTTCACAGTTGTTGCGGAGACTTTTAGTCAGTTTGAGTTCGAGCAGCTTTCGCTCCTCACCATGGTCGGAGCCAGCTGGGATTAGACTTCTTGAGTCGATCAGTTCGGATGAAGCAGCAAAAATTAAGTGGCATTTTCTAATCTTCTGTTTTACGTTATCAGCAGGCTTTACCGCTTTATCTATAGCTGACTAGGTATAATTCCAGGCTTCCTCAGGATCAGTCTTGCTTGTCAATCTCATATATACACGTCTGTAACGGCAGAAGATAACTGCCTTGGTAACGGATCTTTACCAAGAAAAACGCATCATAAATATACATTTTTAACCACATTAAAAGTCAGCTAAGTCCAGCTGACAATAAATTGTTCTGACTGGTTGGCAATTGGCCCAGGGCTACACCAGGCTGTCCAATGAGGTTATTTCATGCCCACAACACCAGATAAATCCAGATTTGAAGAATAAACATTTCTACTTCTGCTGATTTCAGTTTTGACCGCTTCCTATCAATTTGCATCACGCTACACGTGTAATTATTTCTTCTTTGAGTAGAAACATAGTATTCTCATCAAGTTGAGACTTGGTGGCTACAGGGATCAAAACCATCCTCAATGACTCAGCTGCATCCATTCTGTAATTTCATGTTTCTCCCGCATTTCTCCTGAATCTCTTATTTTTTTTACTTTTCTTTGCTTATATAGAGAGTGTGGCAACTTAAACTATCGCACATTTATGTAAAGATTGGTGTTGAAAAATTGACCTGACATCGAGATTATCTATGTCCTCTAAGAGCTAGAGATGTTATCTGTTTGGTTGCAAGTGTACAGTCTGTGACCTATTGATTAAAATTGAAGTGTGAATCACTTCATTTTCTCTTGCTTCATGTACTTGTGCTTTCATATCACTGTTAGCCTGAATTATTTTCAAAATGGATTCTCATAAGACTATATCAGTCCCTGGTTTTTATATTGGTTCTTTATATTGAAATAGGGTGGTGTGATTCATTAGGAAAATGTCGCCAAGTGCTTTGAAAATGATATTGTAAGTGTTGTAATGGTTTTTCCTTGTTTTAAATAGTTTAGTGTTATCTTGCATTCGACGCTAGTGTCTCTAATTTTTGTAACCCTGTCCATAGTTATAATGACTATTCATTTATTGCGTTCCTAGTGGAACACATAGAGCTTCAACACCATGTCTCTATTTTTACTCTATTCTGTGTCGTCGTTTTCACCGTCCTCTGTGACTTCTCACTAGCTTTCATTTATCCATGTTATTCTTGGACACCGATCTCGGCACTTTCCATTCTACTTTCACTTGACGGCTTGCCGTATCCTGTCATTTGGAAGTCTCTTCAGCTTATGCCCAAATCCATCACCGCCAGATGCGTATTTGTTGAACGATAGGTTGTTGTTAACTGGTGCTCTGCCTGACAGAGTTTCTTATTGCTTATCCTTTCAGACATGATATCGAACTGGTGAAGATAGCTGTTGATGAGAATCTCCAGCTGGTTTGGCCTGGCTATTGGAAATGCTTTTGATGAAGCTTAGGAAATTTGGATCTTGTGTTGAATGGTGTAGATCACTACAGCAAGGATGTTTTTGTTTATATTTTACACTTTATATCTTGCATCTTCGGGTGTCTAAAAGTGTCTACTTGCATATTTTCCTACATAGATTTCTACATCATGTCAATCGGAATCATCAGGAGGTGAAGAGTCGTCGCAAAAAGTTCCACCTTTACGTATTAAGTTTGCGTCAGGCACATCCGGAGATAATGAATCCTCTGTAACCTCATTGTCAGCGTCAGTTGGAGCGCCTAGTGGATATTCCATCCATCTAAACAATTCTGATAGTCATAACAACAATGATAATAATCTGGAAAATAATGGGAATGACGAGGTAGATAGAAAGGATAAGTTTGATATTAAATCTCGGCTATCTGTTGACGATGTCAGTCGAAGTGATGGTAAAGAGCTTGCAGCTTCCATTTCAACCAATACTCTCAATACAATCTCTTCAAGTACATCAGAGAAAGAAAAAATTGACAGAAGTCATGATCATGGTTTAAGTCACCACTCCAAAACTCACAGATCTCATAGTCATAACACTACAATGAATCCCAATACATCACAACATCCTGTTGACTCCAGTACAAGTTTGTCAACTTCTTCAAGTCCTGTACCTACAACCTGTTCGACTCCGACGACAACTACTGTCAACTCGACAGGCAATAGTGGTGTGGTTAGCAGTACAGGTACAGGTAGTTCAAGTCGTTCAAAGGTGGAAAGTACACAAGAGGCGAATAACAGTCATGCAAATAATGCCAGCAGTAACAGCAGCAGTCGGACAACCAACAGCAATAGAGAGACGGGGAAAGTAAGTATAAATGTGTTTATTTCGTTGCATTACAGCTAATTCTAATGAGAGAATAGTCTTTTGGTATGAGCTGATGGACCCGCAGTTAATGAAATTGTAGATAGACCTGGTCGATTAATTTATGCTATCATTTACTTCAGTAGATAACAAATTTTTGATGAGGTGGTGATGACTAATTTACAATTGCATAACGTCGAGCAGGAAGAATTTCGTATAAATTTGAATCTTTATGTTAGCTAGTTGACTGATTTGGTGAACAGAACTTTCATTTTGCATGTTGAACATCGGTCACGTCTAGATGAAATCGGTCTCGAACCTTATTCGTATTTAATTCGTGCATTTCGAAGTGTTTATTCAGTATATATAGAAAGTAAGTGATGAGTTACCTTTCGGCGTGTGCTACTGACAAGATCTGTGAGTAGTATATAGACACAAATATATGTATCATCTGCAAGAATGTTGAATAGCTGAGGGACGGTTTGTAGATGGCGATGGAAAAAAAGGAACAATTCTCGTGTTAACAACTTGGAAAATATGAAAGGGAGACAACAAAAAACAATTCCGTTACTGAATAATGTTGTGTTCTGTATCGCCTGTATCTCACTTGGCGTCATTTCGATAACTAGGTTTCATTGAAACTAAAATCTCAGTTAATCAGTTTTGAAAGTCTCTTTTCGGAGCCTTCTCATTTTAGGTCAATGGCTATTTAATTGGTCATTTCGATATACATTTTGTTTAGGAGACGCATCGACATCGTAGTGGGCGTACATTGCGTTCACATACAGCCGCTCAACGTGAAAAGGAGGAAAAGGAACGTCATAGTGAGTGGTTATTAATTTTTAAAAACTTTATTCTAGTATATTACTGCATGGAGTGTGTTTTACTTGGAATTTTTATGTGCAGACACTGTATCTTATGATTTTGTATATTCTACAAAAGTATAGTAAGAGCTGACGTAATCTCAGCACAGATACAATTGATTCGTGTGACATTTCGCCGACTTAAGTCATCTCTGACGTAGACGTGTAATATCCAGCTGTTGATCAAACGATGTATGTATTGCGCAGCAGTCCTCTCTTTCCATCTTTATCGATATGAAAGCTAACCACTGAAAGTAAAAGACTTGAAGAATCTAGCTATCTATGACCGTAGGTGTTCATGCTATATCTCTCTTGTAAATTGGTATAGTCATGGTAGTTAGACATAGAGTATTAGGTAAGCGGCACTCTAATCGATGAGTATGTTGAAGCCTCATCGTTTGAGATGACTGGGATATGTATCATGCATGATGAGCCACCGTGTAAAAAGGTATAGACTGTCTGGTTGGTTGGGGTTCTCGGGATGGTTTGAGAGTGTTTGAGACATAGCTCGAAAACATTTTCACTAGCACAGATGAATTCACTCTTTTTTTAATTTTTACCTTATTCATTAAACCGTCAGGTTTTTTCATGTTACTATTGTTTCTCCCACACATTTCTACTCATTATAGTTCCCCTGAATTTCTTTTTTCTCTCTTTTCTGTACGTTTGTATGCTACGTGAAGTATGGCAACTCGAACTGGTACATTTCATCAGAATATAAATTTGGTTACTTAGTTATCTGAAGTTCACAAGAATTATGTCGACCTACACAATGATAAATGTGTCTGACAGCTTAATGCTTCTTTGTTCATGTAGTTAAAGATAGTTATGGTTAGGTTAATGGCAGTATACAAGGCTGTAAGCCGTACCAAATTATATAAGGTCTAATGATACAACTCATTCGTTTAGTCTGATTTTGGTGAAATGGGACACGAACCTATCTGACCCACTGACTAAAACTCGAATGCTTATGCCAAACTAGTCATATTTAACGTAATTACTTTATTACTTCCATTATAGTACCATGCATTTCTGTTTAGCGACTTCTGTATCAGTGCTAATGTTGTTGGAGTTTTGACTCAGGGGTTTAGGTGGCGGATTTCCAAACCGTAGGTCACGGGTTAGAATCCCGCTCTGTCTACGGCGGTTTTAGTAACCAGGTAATATCACTGGTGCTTATACAATAGGCGTGACTCATTACCAATTGCTAGACATGATAATGTGTTTTCTGGATGAAGTGTCATTATTCTGCTTGGTCGACAAGTCTGTGAAGTTGCTAACGCTTCATATTGATTACTTTCCAGAATTTTAAGATTATACATTTTTAATCGATCCGATGCTAGTGGTGATGCAATGTCTGTGTGTACATATTTCATCTACTCTCTTTGTTAGCCGATGACACTAGTCCAATTAAAAAGCGTAAACTACGCTCAAGGTCAGATGCTTCAAGTCACGATAGTAATACTACTACTAATAATAACAGCAATTCACAGAATCGCAACAGTGGGAATACTGCAGCTGGAAATGATCATAGTTCATCTGCAGTTACCACTACCCAGTCTGGATCCACGCCTACTTCCAGTGTTTTATCGTCTACAAATACCGCTGTTGTAAATACAGAAGTAAGTAACGATCTACCTCTAACATCGAGTACTACTATCCCCCAGGTTGATACTCCTATGACTAATGAAGAGAAAAAACCACCTGTTGTCAGTGCTCAGACAGTAATTACCGACGAAGACACTGATGTACCTATGCCAGATGTTTCTGAATTAGAACAAAAGCCTGTAAGTATGGATGTCGATGTTAAATCTGAGACATGTGGTTCGCCTGCATCAGTTGCTACACTGAGTATGGATACAACCACTAATATGGATGTGCAAGTGCCATCAACAATCACACCCCCGTCATTGTCGTCATCAGTGTCAATAACAACAACAACAACAACACCAGCAGTAACCATGTCCACAGCATCAGTGGAACAGTCAGGAGGGTGTCAGGGTGAAGCAGATACGAATGTGGATTATTTACTATGTCCTGCTGGTCCTGGAGATGAGGATCGGAAAGATATTGAGCTGCTTAAATTTCAAAATCCTTATGAGAAAGCAGCTGAACTGAATAAAGGTGTAAGTTGTATTTGTTGCATTATATAAGTGTGAAGCGGTTTTTTTGGTATACCTATCAGATATTTGTTTGCTGTTGGTTTCAGTGCAAATTTATGTTTATTTATTTATTAAAATACCAACGTGGTATATTATGGGTACTAAGAGATGCGCTACACAGATGGTGAGATGGCTGGTATACTGCCCGAGCGACTAGACTGAAGCAAATGACTGTCTGAAGGGGTCACACACCGAGTCTTTGACTTGAATTCTTATCCACTAGGAAGTAGAGCTGCGTTGCTATGGTTGACGGTGACCAAAACGGGTTCATACGTTATTCAATCCGTTCAGATTCTGGATTCCACGTCCACTATTGGATTGGAATCGGGATTTTCCAGCTTCCTTGAGTATAGACCTGGATGTTCAGCAGTCCGGTTGTTTACGCTAGATGTTCGCATTCACCATTTCACTTTTGCGATGAACATGTCTCCGGTGCGTGAACGCAGTGAATAGGACTTACCTGACAGAGAGTATGAATACGTAGTGACATGAGAGCATATCTGGGGGAGGACCGAAGTCTATGCACTCTTTTTTTGTTTACCTTTTTGCGTTTGTTATAAGGATTCTGTCCTATCTCTCATCACTGTTGTTGTATTTCAGTTGCGTGAGCTTGTTAAGAATCTTGTGAAAGTTCATCCCAAAGCACCGTGTGGTTATCAAGACTATCTTCTGGTTACGCGTAATTACCTGTTGGCTAATCAACCATCCTTTGCTACTTATATGAAACGTGTAAGTTATCAACATTTTTACTGATACATTTCTGTGAATTCTAACTATATGGTCGCTTGAATTTATTTATGCAGTATATGGTTAATATCTCCATGCCTATGGTGTTTCTTCGTCATTGGAGGTGATTTCAACATACCTGAAGTTTCAGGGCAACCGATTAGTGCTCCTCCCCGCTACAGTAGATTCTTATATGCAGTGGAGCTATGTGGGTAGACAATTGTTCTAAAGCTCACGCGGAATCACAATACACTGGAATTAGTTGTGTTTTTTTTTTGGAAAACATCAACCTATCTACTATACACATTAGTTGCCTATTGCCAGGTAGTGACCATAACACCATAATCTGTTCCTTCAATAATAAGCTTCACTCAATGGTCTCAGTGTGTATTCGATCCACCTCCATTTCCTTCTGCGTTTCTGTTGGGCGATAGGTTGTTGGCCGGTACTTCGCCTGGCAGAGTTCCTTGTTACTTATTCTTTCAGACTTACCATCTGATATTCATTATCGAGCCAGTGAAGGCAGTTGTTGATTGAAGTCTGCAAGTATTAGGTTGTTGGAAATATCTTTGGCAACGTGTGCACCAAGTCTCTCAACCATGCAGAAGCACTGATTGACTTAATACCAGTGTTAAAGAACCGGTTCTTGTTTCTGATACTGAGTTCAGCACAATCCCACACTGATTTCCGAGCAATGAAGGCCTGTCTTACTTTTCCGACTCTGGTTGATTTTTTTGTCATCATTTCTCTCCTCTGTAACTGCAAATATGCTGTCTGATGGTGACTCCCTTCAAATTTCTCCCATTGGTAGTGACTGGTACTCGTTGTTGGTAAGGTGTCTTCATCAATATTGTCTTCTGTATGTTCACTTTAAGTCCTGTCTTTGCTTGTTAGTTTTCACCTGTATATCTTCGCGTCTGAGTGTGACATCAACTGTTTGCAAGGTCTAGACCTGCTAAAGTCTTCTTGTTAATCAAACGTTTACACGTCTTCCTGTTTCTCATTGTCTGCCACAAGATCCCAATGCTCCACGATCAGGAATATCGTTGGTGATAGCAAACAGCCTTGTCGTATTCCTGTTTTGCAGGAATACTACTGTTGTTATTCTGCCTCAGCAACTATAAAGCTGTGTTTCACTTGAATTTTGACCAATTTGTGGGATAACGAGCTAGTAGACTTCACTATCTTCTAGCGTTTCACAGAACCGAGCGTTGATTCTCAAGGACTTAATTGATTTCAATTTTCGGAGTTTCGTTGTGGTTAATTATCAAGTGTGTGTGTGTGTGTGTGTGTGTAAAATAAACGTTACATTTTTGTTGTATGTCATTATTTTTTTATTTCTGTAATCGGCAATGGATTCTTTCACCAGTAATAATTATAATCCTTTCTGTTTAAATGTGTTGGGGGAGTGGGTGGGATTGCCAGTAATTAGTAAACCCGCTTGTTCGCTATGGCTGTGACTGACTATCTCACAACATCGATTAGTTTGAAATATGAATTTTTGTGTCTCTTTCAATCACTGTGGAGTAGAAACTTTTATCTTACTTATATATTTCAGTTACCACCAGGTAATTTGGAGCCAGCTTTTGTTGAATTATTCAATGAACAAGAAGAAGAACGTTATGCTCAAGCATTGAAGCATCAGTCCGAACGGGTAAGTGACTATATTATCTTATATTCATGTATGTGTATGTGTATATGTGCGTCAGGATAGCTAGCTACATTTGGTTAGCTGTATAGTCGGCGGTCGAGGAGTGTGGACGCACCGATGACCTTGAAAGCACACTTTTCGTCAGACAACAGGACCTACGGTTATTTCAGCGTCACTAAGTAGTTGTTGGTCCCTTTACTAGAACCCAAACTGATTCATTGAAGGGCTTCTGAGGAAGACTGGCAAAGAGGATAAGAGCGATAAATGGGTCATGAAAGGAATTCATCTTCAGTCACCTTAATGATTACATATACAGTTACTGCCGTAACCTACAAGCTGATACTTCTCATTATAATTAGAAGATATTTTTAAGTCATGTCACTGAAAAATATGCTGTTTAGTGTGTTTTATGATTATTCTCTGTATTTTCCTCTGGTAAGTAAACGTCTTTTTATGTTAAGACCCACTGGTTTTTCTGACTGGTCGCCTCAAAATCAGTCTTGCGTTCGCATTCCATGGATCACTATAGTTTAACTTTGCCGTGTAGTTCAGGTGGGTTTTGACTAACAAGTACTATCGTAAATTTCTATATTTACTTTTATCGGAGTTGGCATTTGAGCTTAGAATCGATTGCTTGTTTATGGTTCCATGTGGGCGTTATCGTCCATTGCAGTAATAGGTTTCCAAGAGTGTAATGTCAGTTATTTTGTATATATATATATATATATATATATATATATATGATTCTTCAGCTTGAGCACTTACCTTTCAGTCAGTTCCACCTTACTCACTCTGGATGAGGTCAGATTTGCACTGGATAGTAATCATTTTTATTTGTCTAGCCCTTAATATGTCGCTGTTGTTGTTTGAAATCTGTCTATCAGAAATGTGATGATGTGGTCACCATGCTCAATGACATAACTGACATTGCTGTGCGCTGTTATGGTTTCTTTGTTTCCCCTAATATACTATTAAGATACGAAACAGAATGCGACAGTTTCGTTACCACTCAGCTACATGATGACATAACCTACTTGGTGGATAGATTTCGCTATACACCAAGCGAGTGGGTAGTTAGCGACTGAATGACTCGAAAACATTAAGTCAATTGTAATTTCTGTGCTGCGGTGAGAAAACTTTTGCCCGCCGTACTGAATGGTGCAGGATAATATACTTCCTCTTGTTCTCAAAGGTGAACGGCACTAGAAAGTTCATGTGGAGAGTATGGCGGTTGTTGATGTTATGGTTAAAGTGTCGTGATCTAAATAAATAATGAAGACCATTCATTTGGTACTTTCTCGTATATATATATATGTAGTTTCGCACAAAATTTGTCCTGTGAAACAACTTCTGCTTAAATTGGTTTAGAAACAAAGTAGTTGAAAAGTATTCAACTTTTTGAAATAGTCCCAAATACAAACGTGTCGTTTGATTGTAAATACTTTTAGTTGAAAGGGGTTATCCGTGATCACAATAAAAGCCTGGTATCAATTCATGAAGTCTTTCACTTTTGGTTTCAGCCAGACACGTGGGGATGTGTAGACTGCCCCCAGTTGGTGTCTTTGAGCTGCTAAGATCCAACACACCTTGGGATTGTTGTTGATGTGGTTTTGAAAATCGTTTACAATCACTCTTTTTATAAACGCCTAGATCCTTCAAATTCTTCGTAGTCCTCATGTAGTTATTTTTTTTCTTCCATATATTTCCATTCATTATGCTTTCCTTGAGTTTTTATTTTTCTGCCTTTTTGTCTGATTGATTCACTGAATCTCAACAAAGATCTTTACATCTATGTATAAGCAGTTCAATTCACCAAACTGCGTATAATACACAAAGATAGAGAAAAGAGAGATATAAGGTAGTCAACAACAAAAAAACTAACGAGTAGTAGTCATGTGCGGAAGAGAAAATTATAACATAGAGAAGCATAACGCTTTAGTGGAGATGAGAGAACATAATCGGTTAATACATTTACACCGTTGATAATGATTTCGAGGTATATCAGCAACACTCTCAGGCTAGTGTTTCTTAGAATCCACACAACCACAGAAGTTAGTCAGGTAGTCTAAACCTCCTTAGTTGGTCAGCTCAAACCAATCGTCAAATTACCTTTGTGTGCGTCGGTGGCACAGTGGTTAGGACTCTCGCCGACCATGCACATGGTCCGAGGTTCGATCCCCCGCCGACGCACACCTCATATATATGGTCGGCCTGCTAAATTTGGACTACCGAGATCACATGCTGAAAATTTCGTACTTGTACCAAAAGTACTTTGTGGAATCAAACTATAATAAATAAATAAGTAAATTTGGAATGTGAAAACAAAAACAGATTTATGGTTTAAATAATTTCACTAATCAATCAATCCCTGTATGAAACTATGCGCTACTGATTGATTGATGTGAGTAGTTGTGTACACCAGTCACTTCAACTAAGTAGTGCTTGATAGCTAGGTCAAAATTGGTCTAAACGCCGGGTGGCCGTTCCCCTCGTTTGGCGCCCGAGCTTATTAGTGTGGTGTACTGTACTCGGGTTGACTGAACCTAGAGCTGAATCAGTTCAGATGACCCAATTTCTGGCTGACTGGCTGGTCATTCGGATGAACTGGTGATACCAGTTTGCATAGTCGAGTAGAGTTCCACCAGTTTCCTATGGAAACCGAAAGTATTCAGATCACAGTATATGTGCTTTGCGTGATACGATGAATGGTAATCAAGTAAGCAAGTAGTTCCGCAAATCTTTATCCACCCTCAATCAATGCTACATGTCAAGTGATCCACAGTGGAAAAATCAAAGAAACGTTTAAAGTGAAGACAGGAGTAAGACAAGACTGAGGTAGACTGGATTATTATGCATCAGACTGTGAGGACTGAGAAGACAGGAATACGTTGGACCGATGAGAAGAATCTAAACTTTGCAGACTGTATATGTCTAATGTCACACAAACACGAAGATATACAGGCGAAAACTAACAAGCTGACAAAAGAGGCAAACAGCAAAGACAGGACTTCAAGTGAACGAATGTAGATGAAAAAATGGTGATGATGGATAACCAACCAACAAAAACAACACGCACCAATCACTATCAACCGGAGGAATTTGAAAGAGGTTACTTCATTCACTTATCTAGCAGGCATTGCTTCAACTCCGGACGAAATGAATGAGAATGTCAAAACGTGAATCAAAAAGGCAAGGTACGCCTTCATCACTCTGAAGTCAGCTTGAAAATCTTCTGTAATCCGCAGCATGAACAAGATTTAGATTTTCTACACCACAGTAACTTGTCGCGTCGTCACGAAAGGCATTTCCAACAGGCTACTGCAGACAGCTGCCTGCACTAACTCCATATTGAAAATCAGATGACCTGAAGAAATTAGCAACAGGAAGCTCTGGAGACAAACCAATCAAGAACCTATTGCTCAAAAAAATATACCGAAGCGAATGGTAATGCATCAGACACACGTTGAGGAGACTGTTGGGCGACATGTCTCTCTCCAGATCACCTCTGGAGTGTAACCGGAACGAGAAATGGAGAGTCTGACTTCTGATGTTGGCATGGAGGAGATTGTGTGAGGAGGAGATGAGAGCCTATGGACAATCGTGGGGTCAGGGAATCGGATAAGGCGGAAATGTGCGTCCTACTTGGAACCCAAAGGAACAATAATTAAGAAGGCTTGTATAAATGCATAGACCTGTATACTACTGATTGAATGGCTGTATACCATTCCCATCAACCAGAAATGTGGTATCATGCAGATCTCATATATATTGTAGTCTGAATAATTGTGGCTTCGTAAAGAAACTGGTGAGATCTCACCTAACATTGTGTAAATTGCGAATATGATATGCTTCTTTGTTCTCTACGGTAAAACACGCATGCTTGATATATATATGGAGAGATAGAGAGACGGCAAGTATGCACAGCACTAGTTTAACTCCTATTCACATTATTGACCTGGAGGAGAATATGTGATGTCTTGAATGTAATTCGCTATTACACGTTTCCTTTAGTATAGTAATATGAATCATAATAATCCTATAATTCATCATTCATTTATGTATGACATAATCCGATAAACAACACAGAAAATAAGTATGCCTTAGAAAGAGGTGAGGAGGGGAGGGGAGAAGGAGTAAGCATTTATTTATTTATAATGCATATATAATTGCAGGGAAGAAAAAACAGCCACTCAGTAAAATCTTCATATTCAGCATTCGTTCATGCCGTCAGATAACACATTTTAAAAAAAATACCGAACATCTGTTATTTGGAGAGAGGGAGAAAAACGAAAAGACGTTTGCAGCGAACAAAAAAAGGGTTGTTTTTCACGAAGACATCAACATTCGTGCATATATATATAATAAAGGGGTTGAGAAAGTGTCAGAACTATATCCAGTCGACGGTCAAATTATAATGATATGAAACACAAACAAATAGGGATTAGAAACATAATAATAAGCAAAATTGACAAGAATTTTGGACAAAAGAAAGCATAATTGGATAAGGATTATACAGAAAACTGATTGATTATGCATGACAAACATTGAGCATTTTTACTATTGTACACATGCGTTGACAGGAATTTCTGCATCGTTAGTGTATCACCTCTCTTCTCAGATGTCTTGGCCTCAATCTCTATGAGTAGTTTAATCGGATGTTGTATAGGGACTTTGAAGGATATCTCAGATAGTACTGGGTTTTCACTAGGTGCTCTGTTATCAAGTTATAAACACGCCTACATTCCCTTGTAGTTAGCCAGGCCGTATAGTGTCGCCAATTGTATGAAATGTACAGTCAATGTTTTTGATGTGGTTGTGTTCTCTGAGCTGGATGGCTAATTTGAGAAGCTTTCATCGCCCTACTAGACGACATCTTCAGCGCATACTTCAATTTGAAGTGAGCTTTAAGATTTCTCCACGAGTTTATTAATCATCTCTCCCGGTGACCTTGGACGTGATTGGTTTTGTTTTGTGTGTTTTCACACCTTCTAGGTTACTTGTATTGGAACTGATTGTTTCTTTGACTTAAACTTTGACCCTTTGTGTGTGTGACGTTTCTTTCTTATCGGTTGATAAATTTTGTCAATCTCGATGTGTCTATTGATTGATGATTCACTGGAATGCCAAGCTTATAAAAAGTCTCTAGCATTTTTGTTGTTTCCTCTGTCTAATATTTGAACATTGTCCCAGTCGAATTGATGTCCGTGGTTATCTGTATGGAGTGATATGAGGGAGTGGATATCGTGTCTTTTGACGGCTAGCCTATGTTCGTGGATACGAAGACGAAGGGGACGTCCACTTTGGCCAATGTAGTGTTTTTCGCAGTTGTGATAAGTTAGATAAAACTCTCAACTTAATAAACAACGTCTTCAACGACATCAAATTCACAAGAGAAGAGGAATCCGAGAACAAGCGAACAACCACAGGAGAATTAGAAACTCAAGTTTATAGAAAGCCAACTCACACAGACCAAATACTGAATTGCAACAGCAACCATCCAATAACACACAAAAGGAATTGCATACAAACACTATTCAAGAGGACCAGGACTCTTTGCAGCACTCCCACCTTAAGGAAAATTGAAGAAAGATATCTCGTGGACGTCTTCCAAAAGAATGGATATCCACGGAATTTCATCAAAAGATATAGACCCCCAAGCCAACTTATCAAACCAAAAGCCCCCAAGGAAAGCACAAAGAAAATCGCCCTACCATATATAAAGGATATCTCAGAAATCACTGCAAGACTCTTTCTGCCGTTCTCATCAACTGAGCTATCAGCTAAACAGCTGGCGTGTGCTCTAGCACGATAAATATTAGTTTGGGGGCAAGCACTGCTGAAGAGTCTCAAAATAGAGACTAAAACAAATGTCCGCTGCTCCCTGGTGGCTTTTAGTGAATCATACGAGAAAAACTCACAATCGAAAAGTATCCACTCTCCAGTCCCTGGATGGGTATTCTAAGATTGCCATGAAAAGTCCTGACCAGTAATGTCAAGGTAGGTGGGGAAAGTAGATAGACACCCATCGGTGACATTGGTCACAGCTGCACAGAAACTGTCACTTGTACGATTGACAAAGTTTTCAACTTGAGACTTTGCAAATGTCTGGAGCAATCCAAATGTCCACGTTTCATATACCACTTAAAGGTAGACAAAAAGGCTCCAAAGGAACGGAAACATGTTAGAGAAAGAATAGATACATGCAGGTGAATTAAAATTTGATGCATCCTGTCAGATGAAATGCTGACTGACAGTAGCGTCATAATTTGTGCAAGAGCTTCTCTACTGCCTAGATGCCCAAACTGAAGCAGATAGTTGTCTTAAAAGATCACCTATCGAGTCTTTGATTTGTACCCTGATCCACAAGGCAGTGCAACAGTGTCAGGAGCTGCGTCCCCAAAACAGCTTTATGCACCATCTGATCCTTTCGTACACTGCAGCCTATGTGTACCATAAGTTTGGGATCAAGCTTTCCTAGCTAGATCTGGATGTTCACCAGTCCGGTTGTAAATACCAGACGTTCTCCCGTGGCGTGAAGGCAGTGAACAGGAAATACCTGGCAGAGATTATGGACGTGTGGTCACATGAAAACATTTGTAGAGGAAGTCTGTCCACCTTGAGCCTTACCAGGTTGTTTGGCGATTTGTTCATCTTTACCTGTACAACATAGTTCCCCCTGTTCATGGGAACTAGTTTTTTTATTCAGTCGAGTATATGTGCGTTTCACATGTAGTTTGGGATATGATTCCCGGGTGATACACTGCTAAACCTCACCTAACCGTTGTGAGGCTAGGAATAAAGGGAAGGTTGAGCTTAAGGTTAGCAACTCCATTCTGTAGAATTCAAATAACACCACTTCTATTGAAGCTTCAAGTCCTGAAGATATTCAGTGCACAAGAAATAAATGATTGTTTGTCCGCGTCTTTGCATGAATATCTGTATGCTTCTGATACACTTTTGTTATTATTATTATTTTCCAATAACCAATCATAGGAACACCTCCAGTTGGGAGCAGAACAAGCTGTTCTGCGTGCTCAAACACGTGGGGCTTTAGCAGTTGCCAATCAATCGAAACCCTATTCATTTTGTTCCATATTATCTTATAACGATTTAACATATATACCACCGGTCGGAAAAGAAGATAATCGGGTAAGTATTCTTCAAGCCTAATGTCTATTTATTTTTCATTTGTGAATAAAGTCCACTATCACATTGATTATGGGAACGTCAACAGGTGATGAATAATAGGTTGAATAACATCAGTTAAATATAGTCTTTGGATTTTGATTTAGGCAGATTTCGTTACGAACCGGTAGATCAGTTGGACAATCACTGAAAGCCCTCAGGGAACACTGGACAACTGTCCCGTCCAGTTTAGGACTCTTCGGGAGTATGCACCCATGAACACAGAGATAGAACTTTGGACCTTCAACAACTTGCACGGAAACGCGAGTGCTCCGTGAATTCCAGCATCGGTCAATTTGTGATATAGCGCTACAGCGAACCAATCCTTCTCAGTGAGGATCCACTTCACACCCACTGACCACGACATCTCATTACTACTTTAGGGTATACACTCAGTGGTAATAGTAGTTTAGTAGTAGGCAATAAAATTGGGATTATGCGTTTGTAGGTGTTTAGATTAATTCTGATGTAGCGATGGTTTGGCTTTCAGTGATTCTCTAACTGATTTGTTGGATCGTGACGAAGTCTACCAAAATATCAATCTAAACCTCTACAGAAACCCTATAACCAAAATAACAGTCGTTGGGTGTTGAATGAATAATCTTGTTTTGTGACTCATAGTTTTGCTGTAAAGCAGATACAGCCGCATTGTTTACTTTTTCCCGGAAGAATTTGCTGTTAATGGAGACTACTTCTGAACACCTTGACCACAAATCTGCTAATGTCTGGCAACATAGAGGAGATTTGTAGCTTAGATGGGTGGTTTTCGTTATTCTTTTAGATAACATCTTCAACGTTGGCTGTAATATGACATGAACTTGTTTGAATTCCCTATGAGTGGTGACATAATTGTCCCTCCTGACAACTATTGTCGTGACTAGTGATCATTTTAATTCACTTGGAATTTGAACTTTCTTGTCATTTGATTCATGTCTTATCAGTTGGTAAATTTCGTCTATAGTAATGTATTTGTTAGTCGCTGATTCAATTGAGTTACCAGGCTGCTAGAAATTCCTTGACTGCATTTTTAGTGTTTCCTCTGTTTAAAATTTCTACATTCTCCTAATCAAATTGGTGTACTTAATTGCTTATATGCATTGATATGATAATTTATGATCTTGAATTCTGAGTCGGGGAGGATGTCCACTTTGACCAGTGTTGTGTATATCGCAGTTCAGGCAATTTATTTTGCCAATGGTATTGATCGTGCCTTCTTTTGCTATTGAATCCTGTAACATTCCAGTGCTGGAGAGAAGGGAATTATCTATTAACTGTCTTCAAGAGGAATGAATACCCAGACAATTTCATTAAACACTGTTTAAAGTCAAATCGAGATACCAACAAGAAACCATCCTCTAAAGCCAATATATCTGAAATAACGGCTAGAATGCTAGGACCATTTGAAGTAGACATATCACACAAGCCAACACAATCACTTCATTCAGTATTGTACAGAACAGAGGAGTCAACAACAGAAGAAGAAGAAGAAGATAAGGTCATCAACATACACAAAATAAACTGCATAAAATGCGTTCAACACTACGTTGGTCAAAGTGGGCGTCCTCCCTGACTCAAAATCCAAGATGATAAATTAGCTGAGGAAAGACACGGTATGGATTCACTCAGATCGATGCATGTAGCCGATTATGGACACTAATTTGATTTGGGAAATGCAGAGATTTGAGCCATGTAGGGAGGAGTTCCCTGTTTGATTGAATACCTCGGGATGCTAAGAAAACCAATGGTGACTGAAGACTATTGAGGATATTGGCTGAAACTCATTATCAGTGGCATAGATGCATTCACTTTTTGTGATCTCCCAAATCCACCAAACCGTCGTGTTTCTCTCTAACAGTTTGCTCATTGAGGAGGTCCTTTGGAATCTCTTTTTTTTCTCTATTTTGTGTACTGCAGTGTGAGTGTAGCAAGTTGAACTGATACACTTCTGTGCAAAGTTCAGTGTTGAAAACTTTTTCAGCCTTTACCTTTCTCAGTCATGCATAAAATGATGAATGCAATTTATTGAACTGCTTGACTGATTTAAAGCTGTACACACTACGATTCAGCATTACGATATTAACCTCGTTTCTTTCTTTCTTCAGTAATACGATAATAAAGTGGAAATGGTAAGGCGAAACCTGACAGTTGAAATTACTTTGACAATAAAGTACCTAATTGATCATACAAAAAGGCAAATACGACCCTGTAATACCACCGAGCAGAATGCCATAAAACTATGACTAGCTCAAACAATAGTCAAAAGAATAAGCAGTAATAAGAATAATACTCTCGCGTAGAAGTAACTGACTGACTGAGTTTTTTTCATCATGGAACCTGGCATAGAAGTTCACCAGTCCAACTTGTCACACTCCCTATATACCACACAAAGGTGAAGAAATGTGAGGGAGAAAAAATAGTAACATGGAAAATATGGTGGTTTTAATGGATGTTGGAGATCACAGCGAGTAGTGGGGACACCTGCAGCATTGAAAACGATTCCGAGTCAATGGTCTCCAGCCATTAGTTCTTAGAATTCCGAAGACCCTAACCAGGCAGTCTAGACTTCATGAACTAGTTTGACCACTACTCACCGTTCTCCAACCTAATCCAATGTTGGCCAAGATTTCTGGAGAAGGAAGGTGATGCCATTGTCATACGCAACACCTGTCCTACAAGCCATCTCAGTCGATTCCTCTCTTTACCTAACACTTTATGCATAACGTCAATATTGCTCACCATAGGTTTTTATCTAATAAATACTACTACTGCTGCTGTATATTCTTCTACATATATAATTCATGCTTTTTTTTGTTAATTTACTTAACACAGGAAGAAGAAAGTGTTCGTGGTCGTTTCACACCGCGTACATTTATCGGTTGGCTTCAGGATATAATTGATACATATCAAAGCGAAAAGGTAAAAATTAATGTCTGCATACCCTCCCATAGTACTTACTCTGCGTTGTCCCTACCGATAGCTTCTACCTGGTTCTGGTAGTCAGGCTTACATATCGCTATGACCCAAAAAGCTACACCGGCTGGAACTAATTTTCTTGCGTGTCCTACCATGGCACAAAGGCTGTTAGGATAGCGATTAGACTAAAAGCAGTTATCCTAATAGGGTAAGATGTTTACACTATTCTGGAGATGTGTGAGCGAAGTTGTCCTCCTGAGGAATCACGGATGTAACAGTAGTAAGGTGTGTTTCCCTCAGATGAGCAGCATGCCAGTTGTGCTTGCCTCTCCACTCTACAGATTGGGGTTAGGAAAGGTTTACCCGAAAAACTGTACATCCCGACTCACACTACGATAGTCTGTAACCGGTGGTAAGTTCTTAATACGAACAGAACTCTGTGTGTGGTCTGCCTACCTCAAGCAGGTGTCCCTGGGGCTCTGAGGTCATGCAGCGCTAATTCTCTTTCCGTTTCAGATATCCTAAAATAAATCAACTTCCATGGTGTGGACAACGGGGGGTGGGTGACAACCACTCAAAAAATCCTCTACTACGGTAATAGTAATACGTCGGTATTTATGGCAGTGAAATTAAAAGACAATCAAGCAAACAGAATTCTCTTCATCGATGAAGTCATCTTCAGTGACTGTACAATCGTATTAATTTTATTCAAATGAATTGCAGTCTGTCATTGAGTAGTAGGAGTGTATGTGTGTGTGTGAGACATGGCTTCTCGGATGACATGGTTTCTACAGATTAAAAAATCACGTAATAGTCGACGACGCAATAGAAATTTGATAAGCATGACAAGCAAGTTAGTTGATTGTCCACTTGATAAGTGTGAAGAGGATGAGGAACATGTAAAGCTGATGATAATCGTGAATTCATTACTAAAAATAGAAGCGAAATGTTAGGAAAGCGATTAAGACACCATGGTAGTATAAGTTGACTGAGCAAATTGTGTCTGCACACAACGTCCAGGGTTATATCGATGAGTCATTAGCGCCTCCGTCATACACAAATCATCCAAAACCCCAAACTCTTGTTTCGTCCTTCTTTATTTTGTAAGTCATTTTAAAGAGGACTCCTGTGAGAACTGTGCAGTCCGAATTCATCAGAGAATTGTGCTAGTAATTTTTTCACCCCCCGCACACATTGAGTCATAGAAAAGAAAACACATTCAGCAAAAAGTTAATCTCTTCAGCGATTAAATTGAGTAACGTGCTATAATTTTAAGGGGGTTGAGTAGAATTCAACTACCATTCAAACGAGAGTCAAGTTAACAACATTGGTAGTGAGGGAGGTAGAAATCCAAAAAAGGTGTGAGGGAAGAAAACAATACAATGAAAATCAAAAAAATACGTATTAAGACGGATAATGTCCATTGTTCGTTTAGTGGCTGAACAAGCTTCTTTTGTTTAGCAGAGTTCAAGATGTAACATGTGAATTGCCATTGCTTCTGCTGTTTGATTCGTTCTCTCTTACCAAGATTCCTGTGTATTCTGTAGACTACTTTGTGGGTTAGCTTAGTGTCCAGATTCGATCAGGTGTTCTAGAATAGAGCTGTGGCTAGGAGGGAAATCGTTTTTTCTTCTTTATGAAGACATGATGGTGATAAGTGTTCAATGATACGTTTGGATAGTGAACGCTGGGTACAGCTGACATACTCGACTCCTCATCAGCAAGTGAATTGATGAGGCCAGCATTTTCTTGCGTTGTCCTCCTGATAACCTTTTTATAAACTGGAGTTATTCACTTCTCTCCTTTTAGGGTTTTCAGTACGAGCAAAGAGACATTAGAATAAGTCATTCTGAGAAAATGACACTTTTACCTACTTCACTTACTTTCCTATGTAGAACTGCTCTATAATGAGTATATATATATATATATAATCTTCGATGATTCCTTTGTTTCTTATCGTATCTTATATCTTTGTATATTTATTCAGAAAAAATTGTTATGTCGTCAGCTTCATGAAGCAGAATCCTTAATGATGGTGCAAAAACTTGACTGGGAGATGAAAGCGCGTGAAACACTGGCCAATGTGGATTGTATCGGCCTAGATGGATTCAAAGATATTCCAGGTAGTTGTGTACCAATGATTCCAGTGCCGAATGATTTTCCATTATTCGCTCATGATCCAGTGCATCGATCAACCTCTATGACAATGACCAGTAATAGCAACAGCAATAGTAATACTGGTGGTAATCCCATTTCTGCAACTAGCACTGTGATGAATAGCATCTCTACTCCTGCCATAAAGACAACAGCGCCTACTAACACTGTCAGTACCACAACATCCAACCCGTAAACTGTAAACAATGAAATAAGAATAAGAGTAGTAATCATCCAAGAGAATTGTGCATTTTCCACATATTTCTGTCTATGTGTGTTCATAGATGTGTACATATATGTATATAATTAATGTGTATTTGATTATCTGTCAGTATTATTGGTAGTATAACCAATTATTTTAAAGGACTGAGTTTAATGAACAAAGAGTATTTTTTTTCCTGTAAGTTCTTCATTATGTTCCACAGTTGTATGACCAAAATTAATAAACAATCAATGATAGTAACAACATTAATGTTTTCTCTTCAATAACATTGAATCAATAGTATCGATAGATGATTACAATGCATAATCATCTGTATGAGAGATAATATGCATTAACACACAAACAACACTAAACTGATTGAATTTACAAATTCCTTAACAGGCCAGAGTAGCGATACCGGCTTCCAGTTGTTTCAGGCGAATTGCAGTGGTCTCTAATGTTTTGAGGCCTTTGATAATTTATTCGTTACCCGATAAACGATGAAGAAAGACCCTTCAACGGTAGCCAGTTTTGTTGGACGAGTTGGTTTAATAAAATTGAACTGTTGATGGCTTTTACTACACCTTTGTTTCGGACACACTGATAGGTGTTCCTGAGCACGTAAATTTAATATATGTGTAAAACTTGGGCACTGTGGTAGTAAGTAATTCCATATTAGTTTGTTTATTAGATGTATCACACAGTGAAACAGTATTATTATTTACTGGATGACACAGTTTCGAACAAAATTTATTGTTCATAATCATATCAATTGTAATCACACGAATTTGAGACTTGAGTTTTATAGTTTTCTTTGTTCTCTCCTATTTGTCGTAGGGGTAGTAGAATTTTCCAGATATCTGGGACAGGTGTTGAATCATTCCTATTACATGTATTTGCGGTTGATTCAATAAACAAAGCTTCTGTTATCAATCTCTCCCTCCACCCTGTCACATTAGATTTTGAAACTGCCATCCTATTGTATGGTTGTGTGTAATTGCATGTAGTGCTATAGCTTAACTATTCTCTAGATTTCTTATCTTATTTGGATCAACCAATCTAGATTTTGCTAAGTTTTTATGTTCAGCTAGTCTGACTGCCCCTGTTCTACTAGTTTGACCTGACAATCATTGCAGGGTATTAGATAAACTATATTTTTTTGTTTTAAAGGTTCTACAGGATCCTTTAACCGACAAAGCTTGTTTCTAATTGAGTTTGTGGGTTTGAATGCCGTTTTTATTCCTGCCTTGTTAAGAATTCTACGTAAGGCTTCCGAGGTTCCTTCCTTGTATGGAATTACTACTGATGATTCAGATCCCTTATTGTTGGTGTTGTCTTGCGCATATTTGACATGCATGTCGTCATTATTATTATTAATATTATCACCATCACTACTACCATTATTTATTTTATTTTTACATTTCCTTACATGTTTCCTGACTAATTTATCCGGGAAATTATTAAGTTTCAAGGCTTCTTTTATGTGTATCAGTTCCTGTTTTAGATTTTCTTTCGTACTACTTAATTCTTGTGCTCTGTCATTTAAACATTTCACCAATCCTATTTTTACTGACATAGGATGGGATGATCGGAAGTCCAAATATCTGTTTGAATGTGTGGGTTTCCTGTAAACACTAGTGTTTAACTTCCCATCTTCTTTCCTCTTTACGTTGCAATCTAACATTGGGACCTCCCCTTCCTGATTTTCTAATTCATAAGTGAATTGAATTGCTTCAACCTTCGAGTTGATGTGTTCGAAAAACCCATCTATATCTTGTGTTCTAAGTACAGTGAATGTGTCATCTACGTAGCTCCACCATACTTTTGGGGTGGGGTGAACGTTTTAATCGCTATGCTTTCCCATTTATCCATGAATATATCTGCTACCACTGGGGATATTGGTGATCCCATGGCAACTCCCTCAGTTTGTTTGTATATTTTCCCTTGGGATTTAAAAGTTCGAAACTGTGTCATCCAGTAAATAATACTGTTTACTGTGTGATACATCTAATAAACAAACTAATATAGGATCACATAAAGTTAAGTTCTTAGTGCAATGGCCAATGTAACTGGCTGTACAAGAACAGTTGAAGTGATAAATGCAATTGTAGCTTCTTCTTTCACTTTCGGATACACAACACAACTGGTTGTGTTGGAAATATAGGCTGCAGCTTACCAGTATATTTAATCTTCTCTGAATCAATTCTCTTAACTCATTATTTCTCTTGGTACATCATTTTTCTACTGTACTTGTGTATGTATAGAGGCCTCTTGTTAGCAGATACAGTAGAATTCTTCTCTACACTCTTGGCCTGTGTGTTTCTGCGTGGACTGTTTTTCAATTAACGTGTCGTATACAACCTGAAGATCGTCTTTAATCGCCTCTTTTGATTATATAGGTTTTTGAGCTCAATATCTGCATCTACATAGTTGATTTGTTTGCCTCTATGACAAAATCTTAGGCCAAGATAAAGTATCTCCAGTTATATTCTATTTAATTCAATACTACTATAATTGGGAAAGTGTAAAATTCGCTAGCTGCTGGCTTATTTTCAAAGCCTTTCATTAGCTCAATATGCTTCTTCTCGGCTCGATTTTTCTCTGTAGCTGGAGAGATGTGTTTCTTTAGATCTTCCGGTAGCTCATCTACTGCATATTGCCTGCGGGCGATATTCCATTCCATTCTCTTATATATATGCACACAAACAGTCCATCTACCTTAGTGCATATCGTTTCAACGTCTTCTTATTCAGATGAACTCTGCTTCGACGTAGAGACTTTAACAGTAATAGCTTTATTTTAGACGGTTGCATGGCATTTCCTCTTTGCACAGAATCTTCAGATAACATATTTATTGAAGAAATTAGATCCTGTGAGACATTGCTGTCTGACCTGAAGTGCAAACCAGTCCATTATGATATTTCTTCTTTGTTTCTTTAGAGAAATGAACGACATTTTTTAAAATTGTCAATTATAAAAAGTTCAGGAACAGTTATTTCATGTATTGGAATACGTCCCCCCCCCCCATACAATTATGCTTTTCCTTATGTTTAGAAGAAACTGGCGAATCAACACTTTAAGTACTCACGATATTAGATTATTCCACTAGAGGTCATACTTTAATTGATTAAAACAAAGCGAATAGAAAAAATTGTACACAAAATAGGGATTTAAGTTTTTGGCTGGCCACCGTGAAACCGCAACACCCTATGGGTGTTCGAGGAATGTAACGCAAACTTTAGAATAAGGATTTGATTCGATGCAATTATTAATGAAATTCAAGGTAGTTTCTGTTTCACGGAATTTAGCATTCTACTTCAGGGGCTCACTGAGAACATGAGACGCTACAGGCTGCTCAGAACACCTTCAACTCTTATTTATTTATTGGATTTTTTTAGCCTTATTCACTCACTTACAGGATGTAATCCTTAGTTATTTATTCGATTAGTTTCTCATTGTAATCTGTCTACTTATTTGAGTAGTGTCAGGGACTAATCTCATATTGGGCAAGAGTAAACAATAGACACCAAAGTTAAATGACCTTGATTCGACCAATCAGATAGCTCAGCACTACAAATGGTTTCTAGTCATAATCCTCTATGAAAGTGTTGCCTAGATTTTGTTTTTGACTTCTCTGTAGATAATGTGTTGATAGGGAGGAATAAAACATGCATGTGTGGAGGGATAATAACTCTGGAAAAGTACTGCCGGGCTATTGATGGTTATACATTCAGATGCAACCACTTTATATTAGGAAGTCTGTATAAGTTGGTAAGTCCTACATAAGTGGTGATTTTTTAGACACTTTCTTCTCGAAATCGAAGCTCTCTCTTAGTAATATACTGCGTATATGCAACCAGTGTCTGCTACAGCTGGAGAAATAGAGAATACACTGGTTTGATATGTCTGTAACCACTTCTATGAAAATCTGGGACCAGTTTTCGCAGCATGTTAGAGATATATACCCTATATGATTCATTTTTATTACATATATCATAGATACACTTCTTTGTAAATTAAGTACCACTTTTCACCTAGAAGAATCTGATTGGCTGTTTCAAGGTCGTCTGAAGTTGGTGTATATTCTCTACTGTTGCCTCATACTGCAACTTCACTGTGAATTCTCATAACATCTTCATTATTTCTCTTGTTTTAATGTCTTCTACATCTTTATTATGTAAGGAGATGAATTTTATTGTTTGCTAATCATCGATGATGCATCAATGATAACTTGGCATTTGAAATGTGTTTTTGATCTGTTTTCTTCTTGACTTCGTGATTTCTTCTGATGCCTTTAAGCTGACGTTGCTGCTATCGGGCTTGCATACCACAGAGTGGCCTAGCGGGCTACACTCTTTGGAACGTATGTTCCTGCAGATCATGTCTGGATAGTAGGTTAGCATCATATGATTAAGCTGTCTACACTGTGTTCCGGTAGGGTGGGGGATCTGAGATAGAGGGAAGTCGAACCGCTATCGAATAAGGGGGGGGGGGGTAATGATAGTAAGCTGTTTCTTTTGTCGATGACCTGTGACAGCCCTTATGTCCCAGCGTTTCAATCGAGAATACTATTTAAAATTAAGAGTTTCTATAATACGGTAGTTTACATATTACTTTAAACAAAAATTTAAATCACAAGATGATTCACCTGACCATCAATTTATTTAACTAACACATGATTATCATTATTCACAGGTTTTTGAATAGCATACCCTAGTTATATATATACTATAGTCATATGACAGTGTAAATGTCTATCTAAACAGGGATGTGTCATTTGACCTTGTGTATGTCTGTCTATCTATCGTTCATTCAAATGTGACGGGAGTATTTATTTGCCATTTTCGGTGGTGTTATCTATTGTCGAGACAAATCAATAATTACGGTACAAATCTACCACATATGCATTTAAGTAAGGTTTAGCGTGACAAAAAATTTAGAAAACCAATTAATCTGCTTACATATAATAGTCATCATATAGGGTAATTGAGATTCTGGGATTTCGTAGGCATTTGAATTAGTTTCAGTGAAGATTTTATCATTAACAAGTCACAGAATTATTTAAAGCCATCAGCATCACTGGACAGCTAGTTCGCCCTAGTTTGATACTCTCCAGCAGTATGCACGCTCAGCGTCACTACTGGGGTTCGAACCGGCGGACTTCAGGCTGTGGAAGCCAAACTAGTTGACTGTTCACCCACTTGAACTCGTAAATTCTAGCCTCTGTCAATTCATGAGATATAGCGTTA